CTAACCCACTCTGGCTGTTCATTTACAACCATTCTTTTGTACCACTTACTGTATAAAAGAGCGCTGTCCCCTCGGTCATACCGTGAGCAAATAAAAGCTTTTATAAACTTGAATCTGTTACTTCCTAAGCCGTACTGAATAGTCCCTCGACCTCGTTAAGCCTGCTCCATAGTAGAGGGTGCCGGTAACACATCTGGAGGTGGGTGAGGGGCCAGGAGGGTAAGCAATAGTGGTCACTCCTCGAGGGACGGGCAGAGGAAGGCAAGTCGTGCTGTTCGGAGATGCTCGGGGGTTTGGGAGGGTTCCCCACCAGCCGTCTGCCCAGTGTCCAGGCTGCGTCTCTTAGGAGAGTAGCCAGCAGGGCTGTATAGCAGTGAGCAGGCAGCGGTGAGCAATGCATTGCATGCATGGACACCCCCCAAGTCTCTACAAAAGGGCAAATCTCATAACTCTATTTATAACCGAGGTACCCCCACTCTCTGTGCCAACTCCTCTCTAGTGAGATGTCCATCCTGGCTGGTCCCTGGGGCAAGTCCAGGCACCTGCAGCTTGTCCCGTGCCACGTGCAGCTCCCCGCTTCCAAGTTCAGCACCTAGAGCTCACTCCCTGCTGAGTCTGGGTATTTCTAGTGCACTCACTACTGAACCTGAGTGTCTTCAGCTTACACCACATTGCACGAACCTCACTCTTGTTACCCCTGCTTTACTAGTGAGCACTGCCTTCTTACTCCTCAACTTCTCAGCTCCTGTTTTTTTTCTTTGAAGTAGCATTTTGCTCCCTGGGTCTTACCAGGCCATCCAGGGGCCAGCAAAGCTAGTTCTTCCCAAGGTACTTTGCAGTGTCGTAGCTTAGCTATGAGGGTCGTTAGTATAACTATGGCCTAGCAGAGCCCAAACCCCTACAACTAGCACTGCTGAATCCTTCCCTGTGATCTTGGTGTACACTGCTATAGCACGAGGGGCAGGATTGCCTCCACTTCCAGGCTTGGATGGGCGGCTCAGATTGCTGCGGTCTCCACTGCTGTTAGTGGGACTGTGTGTAGGCGTGCCCTCGTGCAGCGAGTGCTTACAGTGACGTTAAGAAAAGAGTTGAGTTGTGCAGGACACGATTCAGGCTCCTCTGCCCTGGCCTCTCCCTGTAGGAGGCGGGTGGAGTAAACCGCTGAATGAACTGCACTCGGTTTTGTGAACGCACAACAGGTACAGTGCCCATCGTGCCTAGCGAAAGTCTGCTTGCTCGTAGAGGAGATGGCAGCGGTTTTCTGCAAAAGGGGCAAGTGAAGTGGGCCGCCCAGCCGCTTCTGCACTGCTGGGTCCTCGGTTCTGTCTGGCTCCAGGGAAGCTTTGAACCTTGATAGTGGAAATAAGCCCAAAGGACTGAGGGCTTCAGCCCCTGCCCCTGAGCTCTTGGATCGGTAGACCACCCGCGGTAACATGACCTCTAGTAACCAAGCTCTTCCACGTCCAGTTCCCCTGGGCACTGCGGCTATTCTCGTCCTTTTTGTTTCCCTTCTGATCTTCCCCCTGCATCTTTCCCACGACAGCTCCAGGCTCCCCTTGCATGCTTAGCTATTGATTTCTCAGTTCAGGCCAGGAAAAGATCGTGTCCCACAGCTGTTAACGCTGCTGCCCAGACCACTAGTGCAGCCGTCTGCCTGTGGAGGATGGTTGCTGCAGCTTGGGGGAGCTCCAGCACCTGAAAAAACTTCTGCATGGAGCTGCATCCACACAAGAAGTCCCTGCTGCGGTAGCACAGCTATTACCAGAGCAACACTGGCTTCCTGGCCCCGTGGCCTTGACTGGTGCCAGTGGCTATATGCAGCACCTGGCATGATGCTGCCACTGCACCCACATTGCACCTGCCCAGCTGTTGTGCCGCCCCGGTGCACCTGGGAAGGGACCCTCAGCTGCCAGAGCCACCTGCCAGCTGCAGGATGACAGCAGAAACCTTGCTGTCCTTGGCCAGGGGAGCAATTGGTGCAGAAGAGCTCCGAGTGTGGGCACAATCGAGCTCAACATACACGGTTGCTTGATGGCAGCAGTGCGGTGGCGATCAAGTGCCCTCGTGTGGGCCCGGCTTTGCTGGCACAAGGGTTTTATGGTCTTGAAAACTGACCTCTGCCCTTAGTGGGGTTTGCCTGTGCGGGGTACCGGCTTCATGTGCCCCGTGTAGCTTGGCTGGCACGGGTTGTGGGGGGCAGGGCTAGAGAATTTGCCCCTTCCTGGGTCGGAAAGGCACGGTTTTGCTTTGCAGCAGTATTAGCTCTTCAGGGTCTTTTAGTCCTTGTTGCTGCTGGATGACTAGTTAGGAGACCCCAAGGGACATTGGCTGCTATCGAGGGGCACAGCCTCTGTGTCAGAACTGCCTGGACCCTAAAAGGTGGAGGCTGCACGTGAGAGGAACAGGGGGAAAACCCTACTCAGACCCTGTTCACTCTCCCTCCAGCCTCCGCTCTCTGCCGCCGTGTGACACAGGAGACGGCACCACGGACCTGGGCTCTGACCCTGCACATAGCAGGTTTGATGTCCTGATGACTTGGTTTTGCTAAAGAGAGATTGGAGCCTTGTGCCGTGCAGATCACAGGGGCCCGGCCTCTGCAAGACCACAGGCGGGACGAGCCGGTCCCAGGCCCCGGGCAGCGATGCAGCCGAGTCACCACGGTGGGCATGTGGAATAGCGCGGGGTGCTGTTGCCCTCTCTCCAAGTCCACTTGCCCTGGGCCAACACGACCCATCCCCTGCATTGTTAGGAGACGAACAATGTTAGGAGACACTCGAGTGAGTTGAGAATGAATGAATGGGATCCAGGTTTATCACGTGTAATGATGCGAGGAGCAGGCCAAACGTATGACTGCAAACACACAACGGGGTGGGAGCTGGGAGCCTTGGAGGCGAGGGCTATAAATAAAAGAAGGCAGACAAAATGTCATGCTCTCATCCATGCACTTTGCACCCGAGGGAGCATTGGAGACCCCAGGACTGATGGTGCTAGAAGAAGACAGCACGGTTAGCTCCTCTGGCCGTGCCCTGTGACACCAGCAAGGACCAGAGCAAGCCCCGTGCCTGAGGTGGGGATAGCTCAGTGCCATGAGCGTGTGAAGGGGACACACCAGAGGCAGGAGGTGTTTGTGCCGTGTGAATGCAACACCTCTCCAACCAGCTGGAAGTGCAGCCGAGACGGCTGGTTATCTCAGTTCTAGGATGGCCGGCTCGTTCAGCCCGGGCTTGGCTGGCGCTTTGCCTGTGTCTGGATGCTAAATAAAGCCTTTTCTGCAGGGATTGGGTAGCCAGCGGTCCTTCCACACGGCAGCTTTTGCTCTGGTCTGAATGTGAATAAGGGATTTTGAACTCTGAGGGAGTCGTACAGGTGTCACATTTTTGAGGAGCCGTGGATGCAGCCCACGGCGTTGTCCAGGGATGGGGCTGGATTGCAACTTGGTGCAGAAGCTCGGGGCATTTCAGTGCCAAACCTCATCATTGAATAAGCCGGATACGGCGACCGCGGGGTGCTCTCGGCGTCGGGCCAAGCCGTATCTCCGTCCTGGGGCCTTATCCTCCATGCCACGGCATGTGGCAACCTCTCAGGTAGAGTCTATCCGTCCTCGTGGGTCTTTGCTGAGAAGCGGCCCACCCACTCACCCACCTGGGTCACTTCTCCCAGGACAGGCCTCTCGGCTGCTGCAGGTCAGCACAGCTCCCTCCTCACATGCGGGAAGCGTTTCCACGAGGGCCTTGCACTGGGGCAGGAGGAAAAGCCATGTGTCTCGTGACGTGTGAGATGCCTGTCCCAACAGCCTGCTCCCAGGAGACTTTCCCCCCGCGCCCTTCCCTGCTGCCCCCAGGACTAGCGGCAGCGAGCGGTGCTGTTGGGAAGCCCCCACGGGCCGCAGCGGGCTGGAGGGAGAGCACGGAGGCTGGGCAAGCGCGGGAGTCTCGCCAGTGCGTCGCTTTTGGACTCGAGCCCTGAGCTCTCCACGCTGCCAGGGCCCCAGTGTGAGTGCTTCCACGCAGCGTCGTAGGAGCGTGGGAGGGGACGAGGAGCCCTGGAGCTGCGCGGGCCGCGGGGAGACGGCTTCGAGGGCGCAGGGGAGGGCAGCCCGGCCTGGCTCGGCAGTGCGCTCTCCAGCTGTCGCTCCCCGAGATCCCCAGCTCAGCGGCTCGCAGGGGGACGGCCGTGACCCGTAACCGGGCCGAGGGGCTGTCCAGACCTTGCAGAGTGACGTGTCCCCAGCAGCCTCCATGTCCCTTCTCAGGGCCCGGAGGACCCTCCCTGATCCCCGGCGGGCAGCACGCCTGTCCCTGGCCTGGCCCCGGTGACTCCTGTCTCCATCATGCCCTTGTTAGGGCACCGGGGCCAGATCTAGGAGGGTGCCGTGGGGCAGTTGCACCCTTTCAATCCACCCAAACCTCAGCAGTGTTTCGATGCAGGCCCATTGACTTCATGTCTTATCAGTGACCTGGTTCCTACTGATCTCTCTTCACTCCATAGGTGTTAACAGCCTCGACCGTTCCTGTCTTTCTTCTGGTTCACTGCCCCGCAGGCTTGTTTCAGTTCAACCTCGAAGCCTTAACTCAGGGGTATTAATAATATTAACTCAGGTGATGTACTGGAGGTCCTGTCAAGACGCTCAAGAAGACGGGATTTTGTTTTATGAACCGGAAAAAGAGAGGTGCATTTAACTATAGTGACTGCAGGGCTAGTGACACAAGAGCTTTAGGCTATTTTTGGCCTAGCTTGTGTTGCTTAAATGTAATAAATAATCTAGCAAATGAGTGACCATAAAGTTAGATTGGTTTTTGCTTTGTTCTTAAACAGAATAATCCAGTGTCAGACCGCCTACATAGTAATGACACTTTCCGTTTCTAGCTGGAGAAAAATGTCCCGCGTTATCTACACCCCCGATCCGTCTGTGTAGGGCACCTGTGTATGAACCCAGTGAGCCCCTGGCAGGCTGTGGGTTTGTTGGGGTGGGTGAAAGCAAGAGCATGCAGCCCCCTCCGATGGCCCATGGGTCCCGGCTGGACCGGTGCTGCCCCGATGCCCACCCGGTGGAGTCGCTGCCTCTGCAGATCGGCTCCGTGCATGGCGCTTCGGGTGCAGCCGGAGAGACGGGGCATGGCACTCCCAGCAAGTCGCCCTTGCAATCAACCCCTGGCTGGAAGAGGCCAGCAGCCGGCTCCAGGCTCGCCGAGGCCACCTTCCCAGGATTTGCAGCAAGCTCCTGCCGCTCTGGAGAGCCCCGGCTGGTTTTGGAGAGGGCAGGGTGCCCTCCCGTGGCAGGCTTTACAACCGCACCGCGGTCAGGAGCCCTGCCGGCTGCCACCCGGCAGGGCAGGGTGCCCTCCCGTGGCAGGCTTTACGACCGCACCACGGTCAGGAGCCCTGCCGGCTGCCACCCGGTGCAGGGGCACGGGGGATGCACCTTGGGTGCGTTGCGAGTCCTGGCGTGCATGTGTCTGCCTTTGCTCCAGGGTTTTTCATATGCCCTGGATACAGCCAGGTGCAGCTGGACACTTGTCCTGCAACAGCTCCAGCTGCGGCGTGGGACACTAGGGTTTCCCTGCAGGGATCCACTTGCAGAATCGGGGCCGCTGCCAGAGCCACCGGTTGCCCTACCGAGGGGGTCCTGGGTGCAGGGCCGCGATGCTGGAGCTCTGCTGGGTTTTTATTCCAATGGAAAATGAAGTTTTCCAACTTCAGCTGCTCCTTTTGGCAAAAATGGTGGATTTTAAGGAAAATATATATATTTTTTAATTGAAATTGCCCAGCAGCAGCACAAGGCCAAGCCCAGGCACCTCTGTGGCCTGTGTCCCGTCTCCTCTCCGTGCTGGGCCGTGTCTCCTGAGAGCAGGGACCTAGGAAGGAAGTGAAGCGACGCCGGCAGAGGGGCTGGTAAGTCGTAATGGACCCCAGAGCCAGCGCCTCTGCCCGGCTCGGGACTCCCGGTGTCCAGGGGAGCCACGGGCTCCCATGCCCTGCGGGGAACGTGCCTGCCGGGCTGGGCTGGGCTGGGCTGCCCCACGTGGCCCCTGGGAGGGCGTCGGGGGCCTGGCATCACATCAGGGAGTCGCATTGGATGCACTGAACACGCAGGATCCCAGCAACCCAGGGCAGGGAGGACTCGCCATCCCCGGAGGCGTCGAAGAAAGCCTAGACGGGTGCTGGGGTGGGATGGTGCAGGTGCAGCGATGCCCGTGCTCTGGGCTGTGCTGGTTGCTTCCCACCCCCTCGGGCAGTGCCCATGCTCCTGCTGACACCAACCGGCTGGAGGGTCTTGCCCCTGCGCTCAGGCTCAGCCTGACTTTGCATTGGGGGGCAGAAAGGGATTTCCCCCCGGCTCAGACTGGTCCAGACTGGGGGGGTTTGCCTTCCTCTGCAGCGGGGGCACGGCCTGGACCTGGGGTCTCTGCAGCGTATATTAACCTACAGCAGCCGGGTGTTGGTGGCTGCAGCCCCCCTGCTTCCCAGGGAGCAGGGGCAGGAGCGGGGGCAATGCCAGTGACTGTGCCGTGCGGCTCTGACATCGGACACGGGGTTTGTCTGGGCTGGTTCGGACAGGGCTGATCTTGCCCCGGCAGCTCCCTGCCAGCCCCGTGGCTCTGGGACGCTGCGGCCGGACCCTGGTGGGTTTGCTGGGGGGCAACGGGAAGGTTTTGCAGCTGCTGCCCGGGGCCAAGCCTGGCCTCGAAATAAAAAAAACAAACCTGCATATAATACACCAAAAAAAGTAAACTCCTAAAACTAACAGCAAAATTAAAATCAGTATCTAAACACCACTACTACAACATTTTCCTAAAATATAACCCCACGTAGACAAAATTAATAAATGTTATGTTACATCCTATAATCGTAATTTTATTATACATCATCATCTTGTATTTTTTAATGTGTATACTTACTTGCTATGCCCAAAGGCTATATTGACAAATAAAAAATCTAACAAATTACGTCAACAGCTATACCACCCTATAAAATTTTAATTAGCATAAATATATGCAAATGCAACCAGTCAAGAAAAAATTGTAAAACCCATCCCAAAAAGACGTCTGAAAAAATGCCAAACTAACACCCCTCAAAAAAACTTCACAAAACCCAAAGACCACAAAATACAACCTAATACATCTGCTAATCTGCTAAAAATAAAAATTAAAACTGCTTTATATAACTAACTATTCTAAAAAAACACCCAAAATAACAGCTCTAAAAAAACTTCAACGAAGCCCAAAGTAACCCTGCTTTGCAACATACAATTCAGCTTACTCTAACCTGTAAAAAGTAATAAAACTAAAAACTTCATATAATTAAAAAATCCCCTAAAAATAAAAATAAAAAAAATAAAAATCATAAAAACAAAACCTTAAACAAAACTAATTAAAAAAAACAAAACTAAAACCCGAATAAAAAAAATTATCTTGCCACCCTGAAAGCCAGGTGGAATTCCCAAAACCCATCAAATAATAATATAAAACAAAGTAAAGCGTGCCTTTCCTCCTACCCAACACTCTAACAATTTAATAAGTGCACCGCCCGCGCAGACGTGGGGATGTGCGTTTGTGTGTGTGTGTGTGTGTGTGTGTGGGGGGGGGTGATGTACGCCTGCGTTTGCACACCTGTGCACGAGTGTGCTTTCGGGTGTGTGTAGTCGCGTCCGGGGCAGTGCGCAGGCACGCACGTGGGGATGCTTGCATGCGTGTGCAATAGCTTTCGGGGGCTGTGTGCATACGTGTGCACATGTGCGCGCGCTTGGATGTGGCTGCATGCGGGGGTGGGGGGGTGCGTGCACTTACAGATGTATGTGTGGCTGTGTGCACGCCCATGCAGGTGTGCCCGCGGGGGTGCGCGCTCCGGGGTCTGGTCGGTGCCAGCCCCGGGGTGCAGCCGGGGAGCGTGCCAGGGGCCGGCCAGGGCTCCCGGTCTTCCCTGGCTGCCGGTGCCGGGCCCTGCCGCCTCTGCACCCCCCGGGGGGCCGCCGCC